ATATATATATATATATATATATATATATATATATATATATATGAATGCAATCATTATAAATTAAATAAATTAAAAGCAAGAATTAAAAAAAAATCAAAGTTATCTTACACCAATACCTTTTACCGACCTCTCATTATACTGTTCTATTCATCTATCCATGTCACGTAAGAGAGTGACATTATTTTATATTTTATGTTATGTTGTTATATCGTATGCTTTATATTAATTGTGATGATCCTGACATGAATAAACAAATAAACCTAGCAGAGTATACCTCTTTACTCCATATCTCATTAATTCAGCATGTTTAACATGCTTTCCAAAGACTCACCTCTAGTTCTTACATTATTACCATTCATTGGAGGATAACATGCAACCATCCTATTGACTGGATGACATTGATCAATATTTTCTGACATACACTTTAGACCTCTTGTTTATAATTAAACCTGCAACTTCTGGCCCCTGCATATATTCATTAACTCTAGTCCACAACATCTTCATTCACATTTCAACTTAGCTTTCACTTTGCATATCTGGTCTTTTTTTCTTTTTATAGCTTCCATTAATTCATTTTCCATTCCTTTATTCTAGTCCACAATAAACTGTGGTCTTCAGTAGATGGCTGCACAAATACCAATCCCTGTTGACTCTCATAATTTTAGTCAATCAATACTTTCAAATAATATTCAAATAATGTATCTGCCATTTGCAATACCCTGCAATATGAAGAAGGGCAATGTTCATTTCTGGCACAACTACAGTCCATGTGGCCACAAGCAGAGCAGAGGCTTTCAGAATGCTGTCTTTGTTAGTATTTTCTTCTCTGGAGAGGAGAAAGAGGCTAGCAAAACACTTGGATTCCAGAAGATAAAATGTTACAGGCACTGAGCCAGCTTTGCTAGCCATTCCTTCTCCAGAGGAGAAAAGGCAAATGCCAGTGGTGGGTTCCGGATCCCATTGCAACTGGTACGGTGCAATGGGGCCGGGTGCCCACCACATGAACGCGCGCAGCACACGAGCACATGCATACTTACCACCTGCAATGCTCCGCAACGCCTTCGTGACACTCCAGCTGCTCAGTGGAGCATCATGCAGGTGCCATACGCTCCGTGCACGGAAGTCCCAGACAGCTCAAATACTGGTAAGGAGCGCAGGCGGGTGGGTGGGCCCTCTGAAGCACCGTACCGCAACGGTACCTGGTGCTCTTGGCAGGCACCGTTATGCCCGCACCGGGGCATACTGGTAGTAACCCACCACTGGCAAGTGCACACCATTTTCACAAAGCAATTTGGAGAAGGAGCCTTCCAAACCATCCCAAGACCAAGTCAAGATGGAGCAAGGCAATAGAAAGGTGGACCTGGTGTGGTGGGACAGGAAGACAGTTTGTGTATCACTGGGATAGCTGAGTAGCTCCTGCCAGACTTCTACATATCTGTGGATGCTAGGCATCCCCCACCTTATTGAGGAACCTTTGTCTGGTTGCTCAATGACCCACTCAGTCACTTAAAAATCTCAATAAAGAGAGCTTAGATTGCAATTGCTCAGTGAGCTGGTCATATGGGTGCCTCGCTTAACAATTACAATGATTTTCAATCAGAAATATGGGCTCCATTATGGTTATAAATCAAGGACTGCCTGTATAGGAGCAGTACATCAAAAAAAGCCCAAGACTTTTGTAGTTCTCACATACAATTAAGAACAAGCTTTAACTTAGGCGAAAGACAACTGGAATTGAATTTTGGAATATGAGACTGCATTATGTACAAATGAACATTGTTAAAATGTATCAAATGTTACTGAAATCTGAATAGATTTGAGGTCAGATTTGTGCCAAATTTAAGGCCTATTCTTGCAAGGAGTACTTGAATTGAAGTGAATCTTCATGTTGTGTAAGTTTCAGTTGGAGAAGAAACATGCATAAAAATGTTCTCTTTGCTTTTAATTTAAGGACCCCTTTCAGAAACACTTCTTCCAGTATTTTGCACCATTCCCAAAGGTTTTGTGCATTTCTCAATAAAATAGCAAGCTGTTAAAATAGGCTGGAATTCTCAATCTTTTCATCAGGAAGATGATAAACAACACAAATGAAGAGGGAAGCTTTGCTGGCCTAGTGAAGAAGTCAAATAGTAATATTAATCTGAACAGTAACTTGTGGTAGAAAATTCAAATAGAAGCTCAATCCTCTTCCAGTGTTCAGGAGTTACAAAAATTCCTCTCAGTGTTGGAATCAGCATTGCTCATGAATAATGGCCTTCAGTAAATTTATGAGGTGTCTCCACATTGTAGTCCTGTGCTCAGCTATGTTTACCTCACTTGAAGAAGCTGCTCCAAGAGAGACCTTAAATAATTACCGTATTTTTCAGAGCATAACACACACACACACACACACATCCGCTAAAAGAAAAATGTGGGTGTGTCTTATACACTGAATGTAGCCTCGCCCACCTATCAGACCCACCCTTTGGCCTCTGCCTCCCAGCAATTTATCTCCTTGCAGCACTTCCCCTCCCAGCATAGAAGGCAGGAGAAATCTGACCTGCTAGTGGAACAGACTTCAAACTCTCCATTCACTCCACTAGCAAGAAGACTCCAAATCTTCTGATCCCCTACCTGCAATTATCCTCAAACGTTGCAAAAGTGGAGAATGATTGTAAATCATCCCATATTAGAACATCTGTACAATCCCCATTCATCAGGAAAAATAAACCTCTGCTCTCCTTTGCCTCAATCAGCAATTAGAAAAATAAAAAAATCCTTAACAATCCTTAGTGGTCTTCAGCATCATCCCAAGTTTTCTTAGGTCAGCCTCATTTCATGCGAATTATGCTGCAAATGATCGAATCTGCTGAAAAACACTTGCTGCCCAATAGTCTTTGCAGAGAACCCAATGATGATAAGGAATCCTTAGAGGTAAAGTAGTAAGTGGTTGAGACTTGACTTTTCCCTTGAGATATTAGCAAAAGGATGAGGGGGTGTTGATGGAAGCTGGCTTATTCCATGATCGCACCATGACTCTGGAACAGTCAACCCCTCCAAAGTATCAATGTCTGAACTTAGCTACTCATGTCCAGCTACTCTACTTAGATATTAGGAGAATAGTGAACATGTTGTTATTTCACCAAGCTTTTGGCT